AAAAAAAGAACAACAACGCTTTTTGCTCCCACCTATTTCCTCGTAATCGCTGAAGGCCCCTACTCCCCAAGCCATCGCCGTGTTGAAGAGCAGTCCCATAGACATCCTCTGTGTGTTGGAGTAAGCCTCCGGGGATCCTCCCGTGGCCCAGTACGGGACGAAGAACACGATGAACCCTAAGGCAGCTGCCACTGCTCCGAGATTAGCTGGAAGGGCGGAAGGGAGATGTGTGGTTATGTCAGAGAGTTTACTGGAAACCCTCTCTGGTTATGTGTTATATGATATTAGTTCATGTTCTCTGTACGTTATGTGGTGTACCCCATATTATGTCATGTTATGCCGTACCTGTATCATTCATTGTCCCTGTTAATCTGTGTTCACGGATGAAATCATCATCTACCGTTTATAATAAATGAACTACACTGAGAAGTCTTTCTTCAGGAGAGAGATATTGTCGCGTCAGTTTCCATTAATACTAATAATATTAATAAGTATTGCTACAACGCAAGAAAGAGTGAACTGGAGGTCCATGATCGCCCACGCCAGTCGGCAAGGCACCAGACGATGATGATAGTGCATGTCCCCACTAGGAAGCAAGCTCTATGCACTTTACACTACACTATATTATTACCCCAGCAGACCATAGAACACTCAGAAACATTCCCAGCTTCCTGGAAAGCATACAGTGCAAGCAGCTTGCTAAGCGCTCTAACACTAACAAACTGACAAGATCTTTCACTGTCTATAGCTGGGTACCCATTTTCACCAGGCTGAAATGGGGAAAATTCGTGTTAAGTGCCTTTCCCAAGATTAATAAAGTGTGACGTTTTATGCCAGTTTCCATTAATATAGTGTGACGTTTTATGTCCGTTTCCATTAATAAAGTGTGACGTTTTCTGTCAGTTTCCATTAATAAAGTGTGACGTTTTCTGTCAGTTTCCATTTATAAAGTGTGACGTTTTCAGTCAGTTTCCATTAATAAAGTGTGACGTTTCTGCCAATTTTCATTTATAAAATGTGACGTTTTCTGTCAGTTTTTGTGACGTTTTCTGTCAGTTTCAATAGATAAAGTGTGACATTTTCTGTCAGTTTCCATTAATTCAGGGTGACGTTTTATGTCTTCCTAGCCTGCACACGTCTAACAATTTCTAAAGTGTGATATCTTTATGAATGTAGTGTGCGTTGAGCATTAATTGGGAAAATGGAAACGTGAAATCTAACATAATAAATGACAATAATTTATTGTTGTTAAAAAGAAGCTTAGTTTTAGTAGAGGTTTTTCGGCGCTCGCAACTGCATAAGGTCATATGAGCGCCAGAGGATTAGAGGTGTTACAAGAGAGTAACAAAAAAAAAAAAAAGGAAGGGGAGATAAGAAAAAAATAGATGTGTTTTTAAGCCCCCATAGGCACAACTTATTATATCATTTGGGATACAAAAAATTATAAAAACTAAAAAATCAGTCTAACTAAAAGTTTGTTAGAATCCAGTCTTACACATACTAAAACAAAAAGAAAACACAGTCTAACTAAAAACAAAAAACCCCCCAACCAAACAGTCTTACCAAAAAAAAAAAACCCCAGTCAAACACGCTGCAAACATCGAGAAATTTACAAGCTACAAACCTCGCTGTACGAAGACGCTGACCATGAAGCAAAAGGTGACGATGGCGAAACTGTAGACCAGCATGAAGGCGAAGAACAGGCTCATGCTGGACTGGGGCAGGGTCTCCGTCACCGAAATGATGATGGTGTAGAGGATCATGACGAGTACCATGTAGATGCTGCAGGTCACGAACCACGCCGTCCAGTACGAGGCCGA